TGTTTAGGTTTCTTTGTTTTGTTTTTGAGCACAAGAGAATGGTAGTGTTGTGTGTAAGCCCTTCTTCTGGAAGCCACTAGCAGGAGGAGCAGCACCATCTTGCACAATGGAGTCTCAATGAATTCTTCAGACCACTGAAGGTGTTCCCTGTCCGCCCCACAGTAGCACTGAAGAGTATTTTTCTATTGGTATGACCCACCTTTGTGAAAGGGAAAGGGAAATACAATCAATATTTCTCATTTAGACATAAAGAAATTTAAGAAACAACAGCTTTAAGATCAGTTACTCAGAGTAGATGTGTGTTAAGTTGCTATACACCTACTGTTCATTCTATTACTTGGAGTACAAGTCTTTTTGTAGGAAAAAGCCTTTATCCAGTAAGCCAGTAGAGACAAAAGTTGAAAAAACTGACAACCATCAAGCATAAAGATGTCATATTTGATGTCACTTTCAGTTCTTATTCCCAAAAGGCTTATGCAGTGACTCAGTTTAGAAGCTTTTTGGCTTCCGGCCCTTGAATGTGAAGTGTTGTCGGCATGTCTGGCAGCAGTCTCTCATTCACTCCTCAATAAACAACATTGAAATACAAAAGAAAAAAAACTAAAACTTGAAAAAAAATAATGAAAAAAGAAACAAGGAAGATGAATTGAGCACAAGTTTGGGCAAACAGAACAGAAAATTTGTTCAGCATTAATTTTTCAGTCAGAAGTCAGAATTTTGTTAGCTGAACCAGTTGAGCTGTGTTTAGTATTGGCTATTAACTCCACCATTATTTTTCAGTCCTATTCAATGAGATTAATATTTTCTTTTTTTGAGAGGTTTTCGCTATAGGGCGCGTGCGCTCGCCAGACAGACAGAGAGAGACATAGAGACAGAAAGCGAGAAATCACCCCCCAGGGGGGATGGTCACGCCGCAATCCCTTCTCCTCCATTCTCCTCTCGGGATCTTGGGCACACACGCACACGTGCCCAGCGTGAGTTTTAAGCCACCGGGTCCAGGACGCGAACCGCGGTTGACTACGTGGGAATCCAGCGACATAGCCATTACGCTAACTGCTGGTTCCCAGATTAATATTTTCTTTACATATTGATAGGTGTGGTCTGCCACCTCAGATGTCATCAACATCATCTCATACTTTCTTAAAATGAGTTTTCCATTCGTAAGCTGCTGGTTTCCTTGGGGGCCCTGTCTTCACCCACTGCACAGTATTCACATGATAAATGAGAGTGGAGACCAATAATATATTAAACTACTAGAAAACAACTCTGACCTCTTGGCCAATTTCAGTTGATTTCAGGAGTCCTAAATTAGGGACACACCAACTTAGTTTATTTAAATAACAGTCTCCACAGCTGTAAAATGAGCTAATGATTAGATTACTATAGACAGGAGGTGGATGGTGGCATAGCAGTAAAATGGGACACTCTGTGAGTCTGGTCCATGGCACGGTTCCAGGTTAGGGTCCAGAGACCTCCTTGAGTACATCAGGCAAGCACCGGCCCAAGATCCAGAGCTGGCTGAAGCTGGGGATGAATTTCACCATTGAGACCTGAAGGGGTTCTGTCTCTCTTTATCTCCCTATCTCTCTACCTCTCTCATGCATGGAAGAAAAATACACATGCACACAGTCCATGTGAAGCAAATCTTGGGCACATCTTCTGAAACATAAGAAGGGCTCAATAATTGTAGCTTCTGACTATTGTATTCTTCCCTTAGTGTAAACACCACGTCCTACTGCAGATACATCTTAAGATGGGGAATCTTTTCCTTCTCAGGGTTACCATAATGGGTTGCTCAGGAACTGCTTCTTAACAATTTACAAGTCCCAGCCTCTCATACACCTTCATGGACACTGAGGGGAAGCATGGCATCATAAATCTGATTATGTAAATGTCTAGGTACTGTAATTTGTGATAGCTCTCTTAGGTATCTAACCCTTGAGATGTTTGAAAACCTGCGTGAGTGCAGTGTGGTGTTGAGATGTGTCTTGCCTTTCCTCCCGGGATAATCAGACACAATCTTTGGTCTCCTCCAGAGAGATCAAGTCTCTATTCCCCTAACCAGTTGAGAAGGGAGAAAGGCATGGAGTCTCATTATCCTTCTGGGAATTCTTTCTAGGATAATTCTAAATAAAACCTTTACTTCTGGAGATTTAATTGCGAGTTTCGTGTTCTATCTTATACCATCAGCATGAAGAGTAAATACTTCTTAGCCAGGGATTTACCTACTAGAGTTTCTTAGAGTAGGTAATTCATCTCTGTAGTGTTTATATTCAAGGTCAAAATAAGTTTTGGAGAAATGTCCAGTGCTTGTTCCTTACTATGTAGAAGGGATTCATATGTGCATCATGACAGGTAGGACAAACTGGCGGCAAAGATCACTGCAGGAATGACACTCCGGGGTGACATAGCCTCAGTTCTTTTTAAACTGAGGTGTGTGTTCCAGGTGCATAGAGTAGCATCTACACATGATCAACCCCCCCCCCCCCTCCCCACTTCCCCCCCCCCCCCCCCCATCTCCATGATCTCTGCCTGCTGCTTTGTAGCATTGGGTCTTCCAATTGCTCTACTTTTTCACTGCCGTCTCCCAGTGTGGATGGTTGGAGGTCTCCCAAACTAGCCCCATCTGTGGATTGCGAAGGCACCTACAATTGTAAGAGGTTTCCTATTCAAGCACTGTCTGGATAAGGCTCTAGTGGAGCAAAAAGAATAAATCCTTTCCATTATTTTCTTCATAAGCACAAATGAAGACATTCATAAGGACATTTACAACCAGAAAAACCTCTGTTCTGTTGCTGAAAAACTGAATTGTAGTACCTGGTGCAATATACTC